ATATTTTTATCTTACTGTACCTTTAAATGCTCATTCTTATTTTTAGTGGTACCTTTAAATGTTAAACTTACTACTGTGTTTCTGTGGTACCTGTAAATTTTAAACTTACTACTGTGTTTGCTTATTTTATATTACACCGAATTCCACAGACATATTGTACATTAGTGATGTCCCGAACGGTTCGCCACGGACTCATCATTGCAGGGCCGGACTGGGGATTCCAAAGCAGCCCTGGAAAAAAAATCTATGCCAGCCCCATAAGTTATTGCGTCATATATTGTCGCATGTAATATGTAAGGCTATGTCTTGCCACCCTAGATGATTGATATATATATTGCTTTTTCCAATATAAAATATTCGTCCTTTCAGAGTAAAATTTTTAATTATACAGTAAGCATACTCACATGCAGACACAGACAATCTCACTGACACAAGATGATTGATACACAGCCTCATAAACAAACAATCTCACTGATATACATAAGGTCATTGACATAAAAACACAAGCTCACTCAGTAGCAGGCACGCACAAACGCGCACACGCACAAAGGCGCGCGCACGCACACACACACAGCTTAATGTAGTGGTTCTGGTGTCTATAGCCTGTCCCTGCAGACTTTTCAATGTAAAAACTGACTTTTTAGAGAAAAGGCAGTGTTTACATTGCTTCCTAGTGACAGACACTCAGACGGTCACTAGAGGTGCTTCCTGTGCCAGTGCGGATTGGCTGAGATCATCAAGTTTGATGATCTCAGCCATTGAGGCAGGGCAAGTCGAGGGGAGACCAGCACGACATGGGGGGGAAAAAGGTGAGTAAAAACACACATACCATGACAGACAAACACCATGATACAGACAGACCGTGACACAGACACACACACCATGACACAGACAGAAACACAGACACACCATGACAGAGACACACACATACCATGACAGAAACACACCATAACACAGACAGACTGTGACACAAACACACACTGTGACACAGACACACATTACATGACACAGACAGACACACACACCATGACACACAGGCACCACGACACAGAGAGACCGTGACACAGACAGACACACACACCATGACACAGACAGACCATGACACAGACACGCACAGCATGATGGAGAGAGACACACACACACACCATGACACAGGCAGACACACCATGACAGAGACACACACACACACAATGACACAGACAGAGACACACACACACACCATGACAGACAGAGACACACACACAATGACACAGACAGACACACACACCATGACACAGACACACATACACTCACACACATAATTTCTACCTTTGTGCTGGCGGCCGCATGGGGGAGCTGAGTCTTCTTGCGGCCACAGGGGGAGCTGGCTGTTCTGCCTCTGCTCCCCCGCTCCAGCGCGCCGCTTAATGAGACCGGGGCCGGAATATGACGTCATATTCCGGCCCCGGTCTCTTTCTAGCGCGCGAGGGCGGGGGAGCAGAGGCAGAACAGCCAGCTCCCCCTGCGGCCGCCAGAAGAGCTCTCTCTGCGGCCACAGGGGAACCAGCTGCCTGCCCGGGCTCAGGTGCCGACGGCCCACCAGGAAATTTCCCGGTATCCCGGTGGGCCAGTCCAGCCCTGCATCATTGAGTAAACTTTGATCCTGTACCTCACAGTCAGCAGACACATTCCAGCCAATCAGCAGCAGACCCTCCCTCCCAGACCCTCCCACCTCCTGGACAGCATCCATTTTACATTCATTGTGAAGCTGCATTCTTAGTGAGCTGTCCAGGAGGTGGGAGGCTCTGGGAGGGAGGGTCTGCTGCTGATTGGCTGGAATGTGTCTGCTGATTGTGATGTACAGGGTCAAAGTTTACTCAATGATGAGTCCGTGGCGAACCGTTCGGCAAACCGTTCGGGACATCACTATTGTACATATATATATACCCAATACATTGTCCTTCCCTGTGCTACTGCACATTATCTGCTTTCATCCATTATTGCACCAAACAATCGTTTTCGCGGGCGGTTGGACTCACGCTCAGCCGCGCATGCGCGTCTCGTCAGAGACACCCGGCGGCCATTTTGCGGACCGGTTGGTTGCGTGGTCGGACAAGAATTCCGATCGCGCATTCAATCACTATCTCTGACATGATCGTTAGTCATGTCACCACTGCGGCCACCTCGCTCACATTAGCGATCCGTTTTTAACCGCAACGAGCATCTGTTTGGTGCCCGTTTTCGTGGCGGCCATTTTCTGCAAGGTCCTTCCCGCCTTTTTTACTCTGACATGCCAACTCTGCCCTCTGGTCGGAGTGGGCATCCAGAATTAGTGGCGGACGGTTCTCTGTGCTTTGCTCTCCCCCTTGTGGCTGTGAGTAGTTGGCATTGTCACAATCTTTATTTCTATTTGGCAATTTATCTGGGTTACTTAATCTAGTTCCTCTGTTTTCTTATCAATAAAATACCTGGTTTAACTATAATAATTGGCTTTACCAATACTACTACTTTCTAAAAACAATATGCAGTCATCCAATAATTTGCCTGGGCCATCTGGGGTTCAATCTAGCCCCCAAGCTTCCCTGGTTTTACCTCATATGATTTCTGGGGATGAGGCTGAATTCCCAGCTTCTGAAGAAATTCAGGCAATAATGGACACTACTGTGTCAAAAGCCCTGGCATCTGCTATGGACATTATGTCCTCATCTATCTCAAAATCATTCGCACAAGCGATTTTACAAGCCCAATCAACGGTCCCTCCGGCAGCTATACAAGCCGCGATACCCATGGTCTCTCATCCTACACACCCCGGCCACAAGGCCTTGGCCAAAGTAAAGCACTCATCCAAAAAAATGATGGACAGTTCTAAACCTGTCACAGATGGCGCACATAATGATCCACTGCGCAAAAGAGCCTCTAGCCGGGCAAAAGCGGCTAGGCATTGGAAATGGCAAAAGCCCAGCAAGATTACACTGAGTCTGAACTCAGTTCAGAAGAGGAGAGTGCATTTTCACTGAACTCAGACCACTCAAATGATTTATCTGATTTAGATTCAGACTACGAATTTGGTGAGGATTCAAAAGCCTCTAATGACTTGCATACCACAGACACGTCTAAATCTGATCTAATTAAAGAGGTCAAAATACTCGACCCACAGGGCGAACCCTTATTTGAACCTAATGACTTACGTCACCCCCTGCTCAGCGGAATGGTCACCGGCTGAACATGTGGTGCAATATGTGGCATCCCGGGTCCGCAAGCCCCTAGATAAAGTGGCCCGAAATAAATTAAGGGCGGAATGCCCACGCCCCAGTGTACCTGACGAGGTTTGTGAGACCCCTCAAGTTGATCCCAAAATTATCCAGTTCCTAAGCAAAACTGGATGGAAGCCTAAAAAAGGCTTAGACTTCTCATTATATAACTGCCAGGATAAGGTTCTAGATATTCTAGGCCCAGCAACCAAAATATTTGAAGCTGTAGAAGAGTCCTTGGCCAAGGATGAGGTCCTAGATCGGTTCACGATTAGGGGTTGGATCCAAAGAATAATATGCCTAATTGGCAATGCTAATACCGCTCTTGCCACAGAGCGCCGTAAATCAATCCTATTAAAAATAGAACCCAAGCTCATTAACATGGCAATTACAGAACCAGGCCCTCAAGCCAAAGGTCTTCTGTTTGGAGATTAATTTGTTAAAGACCTAGGCGCCTATGTCCAAACTTTTACTGCCTTGGACAAGGCGCAATTAAATATGAAAAGGGTGTTTCACCCAAAGGTTTTTCCTGGGGCCGGCAGAGCAAGGGGCCTGTCCGGCAGATTTAATAGAGGTTCACTCCCGAACCGAGGCTCCTACATGGGGAGATCCCCCTTTCCAGAACAGAGGTCCGCCCGACCTTCTTTCCCCAAAGAGGCAGACCACTGGTGTCGAGAGGTTCACGAGGCGCACCTTCCGGAAGACGTCCTTACGGTAAGCTACCTGTGGTGTATCACCAAATTAATATATATATTACACAAGGTTTGTCTACATTAAAAGGTATTTATTAAAAGGCAACAACACAATACTATAAATGTATCACAAACACACAGCCCAGACCCACGGAGCAACAACCCTTTTTAAATCTATCTATCTATATAGTAATCCCCTTCCCCACACGTTTGATCTCACCCACGGTTAGGCCTTCACATCTAGTAATGGCTCACTGCTGCAAGTTCAACATCACATCCACCAAGGAAGAAAAGGAAGCAACAGAGTGGTGTCTGCTCTGCAGCACAGCCAAGAAGGAACAGAGAGGATTGGAGAAAGGGGGAAGTAGTTATCTCTTTCCTGACTTGTAACGGTATTGAATTACCCAATTACCATATCAAAGGGTAAAGCTTATCCCACTGTAAGAAAGGCAAACATGAGCTTGGTCACATGACCCCTGGTCACCATATTAGTTTGATGACAGAATGTCACCACACTACCCACCTCGTTTTTCTTCACCTATAGCAATAGGGGGCAGACTCACACATTTTTCCCATATCTGGGCTCTCATTACTTCAGATGCCTGGCTACTCAGGGCAGTCCAAGGATATCTCGTAGACTTTGTGTCTCTACCCATCCAGCAATCCCCACCCAGGGAGATTGTTTTTTCCTGGTCAGACACAATCCTCGTCTACGAGGAAATCCAAGAGTTGGCACTCAAAGGGGCTATTCTTGAAATCCCGATGCATACCCTGGGTTTTGTGAGCAACCTGTTTATTGTCCCCAAGAAGGGTGGCGGTACCCGCCCAGTCATCAATCTCAAACACCTAAATTCCTATGTAAGCTACCACCATTTCAAAATGGAAGGCATTCATTGCCTACGGGATTTGCTCCAACATCAGACTGGATGGTAAAACTCGATCTAAGAGACGCTTATCTCACAGTGCCCATTGCGGAGGCCCATCAGAATTTCCTACAATTCACATGGCAAGCAAGGAAATGGCGGTTCCGCTGCCTTCCCTTCGGTCTCTCTTCTGCGCCTCGGTGCTTCACCAAGTTCATGGAACCAATTATTGCGCTTCTGCGCAATCGGGGGATTCGTCTAATCATTTACTTAGACGACATCCTACTGCTATCCCAATAGGTGCCCCTACTGTATACTCACCTCAGTTGGACCACAACCTTACTACAGAACCTGGGATTCATTATCAACTGGGAAAAATCCATACTAGTTCCCACTCAGCAAATAGAGTTCCTAGGCCTCCTAGTGGATTCGCTGATGCAAACCCTAATTTTATCTACCTCTAAAATGAGGAGTATCAAAAAAGAGATAAGGCGTGTTCTGGCCTCCCCTCACCTATCTTTCAAGCACCTGGCCTGTGTCATCGGGCTCCTGGCTGCCTCTATACAGGCCATATTTCCAGGCCCCCTTCACTACAGAGCCCTCGAACGCCTACAGGCGTCATACCTCAGGAGCAGCGAATCATACGAGGTTTCTCTGACACTAGATGCAAAAGCAAAGGAAGAACTCCACTGGTGGTTCCTACACATGGAGGTGTGGAACGGCAAAGCCATTTACAGTTCGGCTCCAGATGTAGTCATAGAGTCAGACGCGAGCTCTTACGGGACCCTCCAACCCCTGATCTTCCAGGGTCTCCTTCGCCTCACAGCATGGCTAATTTCCGGGGGCCCTGTGCAATCGAGGGACTTTCACAATCGACTTTCCGACTTCTCGAGGGCGCATGGGCATCCAGCACGAGACAGTCTTACAAGTCTGCTTGGCGCACATGGGATGATTGGTGCGTGGCAAGGGGTGTGGATCCCCTATCAACTCCTGTGACAACAGTCCTCCAATTCTTAACTTCCCTCTATGAAAAATGGGAAAGCTTATCGGACGGTAAACCTCTACCGCTCAGCGATTTAAGCCGGCCACACCGGCATTGACGGTACCCCGGTATGACGACACCCACTTGTCTGTCGCCTCCTCCGCGGCATCAGCTTCGCAAGGCAACCTTTACCTCGTTATTCATCCCTATGGGACGTCTCCCTGGTATTGAATTTCCTGACTATGTGGCCAGACAACGAGGCTTTATCCCTGAAACAACTCTCAGCTAAACTAGTCATGTTATTGTGCCTAATCTCATGTAAAAGAGTATCAGACGTTAGAGCACTCGATGTCAATGCCCGCTCCTTCTCCCCAGACGGAGTCATTTTTGACATCTCGCGGAGGACAAAATCATCCTGCCGGTCGGTCCGATATCCGGCTTTCCCCACAAAGCCGCTCCTATGCCCACTAGCGTGTTTCCGGTGTACGAAGCTCGTACCGCACCCCTCCGGACTGCTTTGGAACCCCAGCTCTTTATCTCCTTTCATAAACCGCATGCTCCGGTATCCTCTCCCCCCCTGGCCCGCTGGGTCAAGTGGCTCATGTCCTTGGCAGGCATTGATACCTCCAAATTTTCTCCTCATTCAGTTCGCGGTGCCATGGCCTCCAAAGCTTCCTTTGTTGGTTGTCGTTTGGAGGATATTTTGAAAGCAGCTGATTGGTCCACGGAATCTACTTTCCGTAACTTCTATTTCAAACCAATCCAGCATTTGATATCACAGCTTTGAAATAGCATAATAGGAGCCTCTGGGTCTTTAATAAAATTCAAGGATTTTACTATTATCATGACAGAAAGTCATGATTTTATTATAGACACGGAGGCGAGTATTATCCCACCCACCCGCCCTTGGACGGCTTGGATGTGGGTTAAGGTAAGTTACAGACCTCACCATGGTAAGTTCAATTTGACTCTACTGATGCCATCACATTCCTACATTGCTCTAGGGCATTACTTAATGATGGACTTTATTTGTCACTGTTAGCTTCAGGCTGGTAGTTTCCTCATACTACATTTATGAATTATTATCAATGTTTAATCAGACGATCAGTCCTCTATAAATGCTGGCAAACCTCGATTTCTGGAAATTACCATATTTTCTTGTTTCTTTTAGCGTGACTTGGTTGAAAGAAGTCTCTGAAGCACAGGCATAGTTCCGGTTCATTTGTTTGTCCGTTCCTTGTTCGGAGTTGATTTATTCTTCGGGATTCGCCAGAAAGAGGAAATTGTCATCAATGCTCCGCCTACTATAGGAGAAGGATGTCACTGATTGGAGGGTCATGTTGCCAGGAGGACATTATCATTATGATGTTTATACCTGTTCAAATGTTATCTTTTTCAAATAATGTTTCTTTGCTGCTGAGGGAATTAAAGAAAGACTGCAGCATAATAGGAGCCTCCGGGTCTTTAATAAAATCATGACTTTCCGTCATGATAATAGTAAAATCCTTGAATTATAAATCACTTTTATGGAGGGCTTTACACTGGGAGGCAGATTATGACAATACAGGTTTCAAAACACTATACTGACAGACTGGTTTTCCTCTCTATCTCTCCCCTTGTTCCCCTTCTGTCTATATATATTTCTGTCTATATATATTTTGTGGTTATTATTATTGCTGATATTATATGAATTTTCATGTTGGCAGCAATGGCGAGGCTTTTACAGCAATTAAGGAAATGTACTTATTGAAGCTCTTATCTTCTACAGCATATAGCCTCTTTTTTCCCTTCATAGTTAATCACCAGGAACACCACGCGTCAGTACTGGCATAAAACTATTTGAGCTGGTTAATGCATGGTCATACTCACGTATAGTTATCATTAATATATAAGTTGGTTTAAATGGTTATTCTGGTCAGTATCATTTAACGCTAAGCACTTCGGTACTGTATTATAGGCTAGTATTTTCGGAAATTCCCCTACTTATTACTCTATGCTTACTTTTCAGGTTCAGGTTGGCTTATATCACCTGCGTTTTGTTCAATCAAACCTCTAAATATCCCTTTCCAGTGAGTAAGGTGTTGGGTAATAGGTTTACTCTCAGCACTTAACGGGGGAGGCCTTTGTTACTCTGTATAACATATACTACTCTTTTGCTATCATTAGGTTAAACCTCTCTTCCACTATAGTAGTGGTGGAAGTCTCTGGTTCCGTGTTGGGTTCTGACCTAACCAAACATGCAAGTGGGTCTCAGGTACTTTTTGCCTAAACCCCCATCTCCCTCTCCTCCCCCTCTCTTAAGATTGTGATTTGAGTGTTACTGGCTTATCTAGTCTAGGCTGCCACTAGTATAAAAAATTCTGGCCTCTTCGTCTTAGTCTCAGTGGTCCTGCGAGGCCAACACATTTCCTCCACGCTTGAGGGTATTTGCCCCTCGGGCCAAATCATAGTTAGCCGCCTAGCACGGTCGCATAGAGAGGGCCTCCCTTGTCACTCTTTTTCTATCCTATGCTTTTAGTTGTCATCGAGAAACCAACACCCCGCCACAATGTTTCGGTGGCAGCAATTCCCTCGCGCCAATCGATAGAGCCTTTCAAGCCACTTGGCATCTAGTAGGGCCTCACCTGTTACCACACTTCGGAAATTGTTTCGACACTTGGCATTAACCAGCCAGTGGTACAGTTGCTGATTATGTCTTGACTATTTTCTTTTAGTATGTCCCAGCTACCTGAAGCTGGACAATTTGTCTCACCCCAGTTCTCCGGTCAGATCCTTGTCACCTTCATGAAAAGGCGACATCGGTGATCCAACTTCTATAAGATCATGGACCATCCCTAGTATTACTGCGATGCTTCGTAGACATAGTATTCCTTTTTTCTGCCATAGCCAGGAAAGCTGAGCTGTTCAAGCTAATGTAGACTAACACCAATAACTCAGGGGCGGGAGAGGGGACAAGTGGTCCAGGCAACTCAGACCTACATACCATGGTTGCCACCCGAGTAGCATTTATGGACAAGGTTACCGATAGACTTGATAGGATCGAGGCTCGGAGCCCTCCTGCTTTGTCATCTACCTCTATTTGCACAAGCTGGTGGACTTGGGAAATAAATACGGTGGGTCATCCTTTTATGATTACCACTGGTCCTTTTCGGCAAGGGCGTTTGCAATTTTGGCTCAGTAAGTTAAAACTGACTGGAGCCGTATGGATATGGAGCTTTCTGTCTCAGAGATCTTTGCCAGAAGTTCAAGGAAGCAAGGTGAATGGTTAGAGTTAGGACCCACCTGGGGGTGTCTGCCTTGACGTTGGCAGGTGGGCTTATCTTCTCATGGCCATTGGAGGCAACTAAAAACCTCCGTTTGTTTAAAAATACATAGGGATTAAGGAGAGAGCGCAGGTAACTTGTTTTTCTTTAGTTTTTAATATATATTGGGGCTGATGTGTACTGTAGTCACTGCTGCCGCCCAGTGATGGGAGTGAGCGCAGGACTTAAATTTTTTTCTATTTTGCTGGTCTGAACACACTGGCTTGTGCAATTTGTGCTTCCACCTCACATGCCTCGGACTATTGTCCCATCATGCCAGAGTCCACACCTGGGACTTTCCAGGAGAGACAGACTAGGATGGACAGATCATGCGAGAACAAACTTGGTCGTCCTATTGTTTACTTAGGGAAGTCGCAGGTGTGCAACAACTTTAATGTAAATGTGTTATTGGTTTGTAAGTTTGTGTCCCTGTCCCCAACAAGGTCCATGTGGGCGTACACCTTGCTTGGGGACTTGCATAAAAGGCCAGTGTGGCTCCCACTAAAGAGATTCGTTTACCCCTTCATGAAGTCTTGGCTAATGTTTGGGGGATTGGAGGAACTATATTCACTCTGGGGATTGTTATATCACAATACTCCCCTGAGCATAATCACTAGCTCTTATAAGAGCTGTTCCTGCTACGCTCTCTGGACTAAGAATTCTAACCACTGGAAGCTGGTCTTGGGTCCAGGGTGGGTGGAGGACAGCGAGACCCCAATCAAGCTGCGGCGGTTCGTGGGGTCTACAGTGGTTATGGTGTTTGCAAGTACTAGGAACAGCGATTGACGGAGGTACCCGGTCGGGGTGCCAGGTGGTCCATCACACTTCCCATATTGGGCGAAAATGTCAAAAAGGTGAGAGGTGTGGTATTCTTTAGGGCCTCTATGGCAGGTTTCCCAAACAGCTTCAAAATGAAAAATCAATAGACACCATACACTGAAAATATTTCCTTTTATTGAATATTACAGTTATCACCATATGAAAGTTTATCTGCAGATGTGCCCCCACTTTACACCCCACTCATACAGAAAAAAAAAGACAACTTTGCATAGTAGCCTAAAACAGTTACATATAAGAATTCTTGCAAAGCATTTAAACTCAACACTGTAGTTTATTATTGAAAGTTTACAATAGGTCCATGGAAATTATATCCAAAAAAAAGCATCTACTATGAAAAGTGTAGTAGACCATTCCAACTTGTTGCTGTTACATGCTTCTTATTGTACATAGCAATAAACATTATTGCTTGATTTCCCATTCCACATTTTACAGCAACCTGACAGTTTTCCCTGTTACTGTCAAGTAATCTTCATCCGCAAGAGCATGCAATGCTTCATCAAACATATCTTTGGTAACGGCCTGAAAATGGAAAAAAATGAGTTACTATTTTTTAGCAGTATTTTACACTCCAACGCTTGGATTCAAAAATAGACAGACTACAAAGACTATTGAAAGATTTCTTAAAATATGTAAAAAACTAGTCCAACATTTCAAACTTACTGCATCAGACTGCCCACGGAGATCCTCAAACAACTGCTGATACTTTAAGGCAGGAGTCTTGCCTTTAGATTGAATAAGCTTTTTCAGAGCTTGAGCCAATTCCTCTTTTCGCTTACGTGCAGTTGCACTCATTCCTAAATAATATGAAGGGGAAAAAAAAAAAAAAAGGTGAGAATGCTTCTGTTACACCATTTCTGGCTATCAAGCTTTAATGAACAAGTCCCAGTACCATTACAAATTTTAGCTTGCCTCGTGCTAAACTGAACGAGAAGCCAATGCAGTTTTATTATTTTAGCTAGTACTGAAGTTTAGGGTGCAGTCAGGTATTACAATTAGCGGGCAAAAAGGGAAGGGAGCCATAGAGAACGGAATTATACTTGTGGGGGGCGGCAAGGAGAATTTACTATTGGGCGACATGGAAGAGAAAATCTCAACCCTACCTTTAGTATATGACAAGATCTGTAACCATATACATACACCTTAGTCAGACCGTGTTTGAAAACCAACAGTCTCTATGGTCTTCCATTCTTCGCACAATGCAGTATTATCAGCAAACTGACTGTCAAATTCAATTACCGTTTGACTGAGTATGGATATGGCGTTAGTATCCTGTCATATACTAAAGGCAGAGATGGAGTTTTCTTATCTTTTACAGAAACTTCATTTAACAAAGAATCTATTACTTTCAAAATGTGATAAAAGGGATTGTTATCTTAAATATTGGTGACTGTTCTTTAAATCTTTTCATATCATAGAAAGCTTGCATCGACACAGTTAACCAAGGTAACTATGCAAATAAAGCTGAAAGAGGGCAATTTTATTTATATGAAACTGGATTTAGTTTTATCTATTATAGTTAGTCCAACTAAAATGGTGAAGGCTCTGTATTAATCACCTGTTGTGAGAATGGAGATATCCACAATTCCAGTTCTTGGGTCTGTGGCAGATTGTTTTAATGCCTCACGGTGAAGTCGTTTGGCCTCTTCCACATCAATAGTTTCAACTTTCTGGGAAAACCGTACTTTTGCATGAGCTTCTGATAAGCGGATAAGAGACTCCAGTTGTCTGGGATAAGCAGAGACCATTCCACGACCACTTCCAATCTTTCTCATGTCTACATAAGCCTAGAAAAACAGTAAATGCTTGTTAAAATACACCAAAACAAAAGAGTGTTTGAAAAAGAAGTATAGGGAAGTGGAAGTTGGTATGTACAATTAAAACAAATTTTAATAGGTATGTACTAAAAAAAACTCTAAAGGTAGAGAGAACACAATGTAAAGGAGAGAGGAAGAAATCTTCAAGATATAATATCTTAAGAGCTATAGAGTGACAAAAAACAGCTACATAGTGGAGGTTTCTTATATTCTACTGTATTATAGCTAAATCTAAGGCTCTCTCTTCCTCCTATAATCTAAAACTGCTAGCGGTACAATAAAAAAAAAATAAAAAAAAAAAGGGAGAAAACCATCTATTAGAGTCAAATAACGTGATCTAATAAGCGTGCAGATATAATGTTTAGATGGCGTCGTAGATCTGCACGCTTTTAAGATTTATGAAACACCTCAATGATATAAAGAAAAAGCTTGAAACATTCACTGCCACGACATTGCAACAAGAGCCCTAAATTTAGTTTTAAAAACCTTTCATTTGTTATAATTGAATAGGTCACACCGGATGAACTGGGAGAACCGACCTGATGGGCAAATTGAAAAAGGAGGGTTTTTGAATTTACTAACTTAACACATTACACCTAAAAGGGTTAAATGTGAATTTTGACTTGGTCTATTTTTTAAAAAAAATACTTTTTGTAGGTTACGGATTGTTATATATATATATATCTATCTATCTGGCTATATATCTATATACACACACACACATACACACACACATTATTCTAATCATATTTTTACATTTATCCTCCCTCCTTCTCAATATGTATACTTTCTCTTGTACTGAGATGTACTCACAATCTTCATTGTAACACTTGACGCCTGAAAAATCTCACACAAAAAATAAATCTCACACTGTTGGTTATGACACTTCTAAAGATTGTTTTGATCTATTTTAGAACATGAAAATTGTTTTCAATTAATTTTTAGGGCATATTTTAACTATATCTCATATGTAGATTTGACCATTTATCGCCATTTGCTTTTTTCTGTTTGGATATTTGAGCAATATAATCTTCAGGTAGACTGGAATGTATAAAGAAAGCTACCGGGAATACTTTTGGACCGAAAAGAGCACTTTGGAAATGGACTGTGATTAACTGTTGGACTAAACACTGTGTAAAAGACAAAGTTTCCTTTGGACCGCATGTGCGTTCCAGCGAACCTAAAGTAAGAGACCCGTCCGGAGGACGCACAATGACGCTAGTATGTACGTTCCACGAGGCGGCTGAATGAGTAATTTACCATCTACAGCTGACACCTCCAACCGGGATTGGCTGATGACGACCTGGGAAAAGACTGTCAGGATATTTATGTAGACATTTTGGTAGGACACACTTATGCTGCTATTATCCATTGTGATATTGTGCCCCTGAGGAAGTCTGGTGACAGAAGAAATGCGTAAGGCTGCTAAATTGCAAGGCGTATTTATTGATTTTATTTCCATTGTGGACTTTTAATTGATTTACAAAAGGACTACCTGCACAAGCACTTTCAGTGATAAGAACCTCCCGCACATCATCACTTTTGCATCTAATGAAGGGGTGTTTCTGGTTCCCACTGATGGGTTCGCTTGTTTTGTCCTAATTGTAAGTTTTTATTAATAAATTGTACTTTTACTTTTGATATATTGCCACATATTTTGTGTCCTTTTTCCTCTTCATGCTACATTGAGGAAATCTCCAAATCTCAAGTATCTAAGAAGTGTCTAATATTAGTCATAATCTAGTGAGTGCAACTATTAACCATTCGTTGCTCTTACATTTAAACTGTGCTACTCTATGTATGTTTTTTTTTTTTTCCTCCATCCATTTGTAGATATTTTGTCTTTTTATGAAGTTTTTGTAAGAACCTTGAGGAGTTTTGTGCGTGTGTGTAAAAATTCCTTTTATTTTATCACCATAGTGATAAAATCGAAATGGTCATTTGTGGGTGTGTGTGTTATCAAGTTTTGCATTATAACAGCTGTTAAATTAGTTTGGCTATCAACTTAAAAAAAATTACCTCAATGAGAGCTTGGCTCGCTTCCTCACTAAGTCGAGGAATTACATAGGTGCGAGCATATGCAATGTAATCCTTCAACACAGCCATATCCATGTGCTCTTCTTTTAGCTGTTCTTCACTCTGGTAGTATAAGGCTACAAGATGGTGCGCTAACCGGCGATCGTACGTTTCATCTTGAGGATCCAGCATCAAAAAAATCAAGTCAAATCTTTAACAAAAAAAAAAAACAAAACCAAAAACCTGAATTTAAATATGAAAGAACACCACAACAGAAAATGAAAGCAGACAAGGCCACAATTTACAGCACATCACTAACACCTTATAGCGCCTGGCTTACAACCATTACAAGTAAAAGGGAACATGGTCTTGTGAAATGCTCTGAATATTACATTGAAAATTTTCATGTGTTCAAATCTATTTTAGGAGGATATTTCTAAGAATCTAACTTTTTGTACAGCTGTTTGTCAAAGCTAGGTTCATATAAAATCAGTAGGCTAAACATTTCAGCTATAACAATACCTGGACAATAATGTATGAGGAAGCTGGATATTTTCAATAGTGGTTTTCTTTGGGTTCCACTGCGACTCCACTGGATTTGCAGCAGCCAAGACTGAAGTACGGGCATTCAACTGACAGATAATTCCAGCCTAAAATAAATAAAACAAGCATACATAATGTAGTGGAGTAAACACACACTGACCCCAAGATGGTTGAACTATACTTATAAGCCAGGAAACTCCACTGTATGCTTAACAACTGAAATTTTTTTTGTTGATATTGGCATTAAAAGAGACACTCCAGACCCCTAATGCACTTTAGCTTGCTGAAAAGCTTTGTGTGTGAAGAGTGAGCCCTTTTTCTAATTTTTACAAATAGTGCAGATTTAAATAGAAATTGACACTTATGAACTAACCTAGTTACACCACACTGAGTTCCAAGCAGACATGTTCAGTTACTCCCTGGTTTGTTTAGCTTAGTGGAACTCAAGAGGCAGCAATTGCCCAGGGCACCTGCCTTGCAAAGACTTCTCATCGAGCTGCACTGGGAAGTCTGATTGGACAACCACAGAAAGTCTGGGTGGTGTTAGAAGAGGAGGGCTTGCAAAGACAGCAGACAAATGAACTGCAGGTTTTACAAGTTCTTTTTAGATATAACCTCAATGATAAAATGCATAACTAAAGGCATGCATGTTCACATTGGGTATATCTACTAAACAGCAATGATATATTTAGGCAGTGGAGTGTCATATTATATATATATATATATATATATATATATATATATATTTTTTTTTTTAAGCCTGCAAGGATGTCGTTAACTTCAGCAAGTTGAACTGATTTAGGGGAATGGAATGGTTCTTTAATGGATAAGTTATACTGTTGCCTTTAGTAAAAATAATTTTTATATCTAATAATATCTACAAAATTTTGAGATTCTTCTGACCTTCACAAAGTAATCAAGAACAACCAGGGTAAGCAACTGCAAGTCATCCATTAGTGCTTTTGTTTTTTTAAACACTGACAATGTAGGTGCAGCAAGGATACACTTTCAATAATAATCATAATATAATCCAAGATTGCAAAACATCAATAAACACAAATTAATCCATCAATTGCCTTACCTTTGCAATTGAGAGGGTTTGCTGCTCCATTACTTCATGCAGCACAGACCTGGTACTCTCATTCATTTTGTCGAACTCATCAATGCAGCATATACCATTGTCGCTAAGAACCAATGCCCCAGTTTGCAGAACCAGCTGCCTGGTTTCTGGGTCCTTCATAATATAAGCGGTTAAACCTACAGCACTGGAACCTTTCCCTGATGTATATTGTCCTCTGGGCACTAGATTATACACATACTGGAGGAGCTGGGATTTACTTGTGCCTGGATCTCCACACAGAAGGATATTGACTTCAGCACGGAAATTGCCTCGTCCTGTGTGACTGAAGTCTTTTCGAGTACCTCCAAACAGCTGCAGCAAAATACCCTGGAAAAAAAATGAAGTAAATATGACTGCCATTTACCTGGATTGAAGAATAAAAGAGAAGAGTGCTAAATTTGCGTGTTTGGGGACGCAAGTGCTGATGAGATATAGATTAATATTTTTAGTTTAGAAAACTTTATCACTTAGATCAGTGGTTCTCAACCCAATCCTCAAGTAAAGCCAACAGCCCAGGATTTATGGATTACCCATTGGTGTCCAAGGTATTTTTAGAAAAACAAAAAACACTTTAGACACAACAGGATAATTACTAAATCCTGGACTGGTAGGGGGTACTCGAGGACTGGATTGGGAACCCCTGATTTGATGAACAATAAGCATCCAACACTCAACTGCTTAGTATGCACAGCTTCTCCACACATTTCTTCCATCCCCTGTTCTTAATATCCCTTTTCCTTCATAATCAATTTATAGTTAAAAATGTCTCATTTATAGAAGGGTTATAAAGATATTCATGTGTCTGCCAGATATATTTCATGAACTCACACTCTTCTTTAATACCATTTAGTGTATTTTTGTGTTAAACACTGACCTATTTATAACTGCATCTTTTTGCCTGCCACTCAACAGTCTTAATTAAAACCCTTTTATTGCAAGGTGGACATTCGGTAAAGACATTCCTGTTAATTTGTCTGGCAGAAAAACCTGCAATACAGTGTGCATTCAGAAATTCATATAAATATATATTTTAAAATAGTGTTTTTTATTTTATTTTTAACTTTTACTTTGCTTCCTCTCTAGTATTTATAGTTTCACAAAAGAAACTGGGGAAGAAAACAAAACATTATTTATATGAATTTTAAAGATACTCTGTTGTTGCCACATCCTAATGTTTTGCCGGAGACTTGGCCCACCACCCTTAACCCTGAGCATGTAATTACTGCAGTTTAAGAAACTGCAATAATTACCTGCTAGGGTTAACTCCTCCTATAGTGGCTGTCTACCAGACAGCCTCAATAGGGACTTCCGGGTCTTTAGGAGACTTTTGATCGCCTAAAGGACACTGAAACAGAAAGTAATAGGCGCTCTCTATAACACAACAAATAAGTGAGGGCTGCTGTATACAGTAAGAGGATTCCCAAAACCTTGCGTAACAATAAAACAAAAAGAGTAAAGTGTATACTGCGCCCAGAATTAGACGCACATGCATTTTTTTGTATCCTGTTCTGTATCCTGACTGCTACCTGGTTTTACTACATCCCTAGGTGGGGATAATACCACCCATGCTGAGATAGCTAGAGTATGCCTTTGCTCTGAAGATTGTAAGTAAATTACTTCTTTATATTTTAACTTACAGTACATACCACACTATCAGAGTTTCTCTCTGCTCTTTATTTTTACATATACCATCTACACCATTTTATATCCTTAGACGGGGATTATACCGTCCACGCACTACAAAGCAGAGCTCTCGTATAGCTCCTCTAAATGTGAGTGGTTGTTCTACAGCTATTTAATATTTTTCACCTTGCCAAAATTGTATTGCACTATTATTGTCTTTTTTTATTCTGAGGTCTTCAACCATCCCTCTTCACTACAGCTGTATGTGCGTATAATTCTGGGCGCAGTATACACTTTACTCTTTTTGCCTAAAGGACACTGGACGTCCTCACGCTATGCATGAGGACTTCCAGTGTCACCGGAATCCCCATATTGAATAATGCTTTCCTACGTGGAAATCCTAATGCGAACGCGGCAGATTAGAGCCAGCGCCAAGGGACATTGTCGCTGGACCCGGGTAAGTAACAGAAGGGGTTATTTTCCCCTTCTGCATCACATGAGGGGGAGGGCCTTGACAGAAGGGGAAGTTATATTGCCAGGAAAACAAGTTTGTTTTACTGGCAATATAGTTTCCCTTTAATAAAAGTATACCTCTCCAAGACAGAATGCTTTGTCATTCCCCCCCCTCCTGATAAGGCTACATCTGTGCCTTTTTCCCTTAAGGTCAACAGAGCAATCATAAGCACTAACCTGTGATGCATTGGTGGGCTCTTTGAATCTGATCTTTCCTTTACTACTTACATAAAATCAAGCACAAAAAAAAAAAAAAAAGTTGCTTTCACATTAACATTCCTTGTGTTCACCCCTTTCTCACATCGGACGCCACTAACATGATTGTCAATGCTTGTTTCCTGCCTTTTTCATAGGCGTGAAAAGTGTCCAGATTGCCGTTCTACAGTCCATAATTAAGGTCTTAGACACTATCTTATGTCTAGCAACTCCCAAACCTCACTGTCATTCTCCTCATTGGCTTTAATTCAGGACTTGGATCAAAGTTCTTGTGGTTACTTACAAAGCTCCCCATATTCGTACCCATACTTAGCAGATATGCTTTTGTTTGCCAACACCTGCTATTATCCCATTCTCCCAGCCCAGCCTCAACTGCAGGAATTTTCCAGGTTGCCCCCTTCTTATCAAATGCCCTCTCACATTCAACTCTCCCAGCCTCTACAGTCTTCCAAAAAATACAATCACCACTTTAGTAAAGAATAACTTCATCTGATGTCTTCTAATCTCCTCAAGAATACCCCTCCCATCCTTCAGGTGTGTACAGATCATTTTATTCCCTTATTTATCGTCGTGTATTTGCTCCTCGTGCCTTTAGAATATAAGCTCTTTTGGGCAGAGCCCTCTTCATCTAGTGTACCCATTTAGCAAACGTATTTTATTAGAATTAAATGTTTGCCTTGTTTACCCTATTGTACAACACTGCAGAATATGTTGGCCCTACATAAGTGTAAGAGTGTGTGTGTGTGTGTGTGTGTATGTGTAATATATATATATATATATATATATATATATATATATATATAAATAAATATAAAAAAACCTTGCAAACTATGAATGTCAATGAAATGCTTTTAGATGTAACTAAGCTTTCATACAATAAAAACGTACCTTTTTGATGTCTTCATGTTCATAAATACTTGGAGCTATAGCAGCAGCAAGCCTTTCATATATATCTGGTTTAGAAGCTAGTTCCTTTAAAAATTCCACACGCTGCTCAGTGAACAACTTCTGCTCTGTGTCGTCGTCAATGCCATGCAAGCGCTTTGAATCAGTCTTCCGATAATGAATTACATCAATGTGAGTCTTGTACACAGACTTTACGTTACTGACCCTGGGGTTCACTCGAATTGGAACGGCTCTGTAGATCCCTATCGAGGGAGGTGGAAGAGTTAAGAATTTAAGTTTACTAAGGAAATTAGAAGGACAGAAGAAAACTACAACTGACACTTGAATTGTTATTTTAGGATTTTATATATACACACAAAAATGAAATGGTGATCTAGAATGGTGTACCTGTCACATTTACTCTGTCACCGGGCTGCACTTTGTCCACAAGGTCATTGTGAGCATACAAGGCAATTGTGTGAGGGGTCTGACCCGCTGGCATATCCTCAGGGGACTCCTGCAATTTAATCTAGTAGTGGGAAGGGAAAGAAAAAAATAAATAAAAAAATATATATAAATGAAATAAGAAAACAAATGTAAGGTTTTGAATGTAAACTGGATATATATGTATATATAGATGTAAAAAACTGATGAAATTCATATCTAGAATACCTTTTTTATTAGACTAACAATTTTGTAATGACAAGCTTTTTGGGAGAACCACCCTTTCTCAAGCCTAAAGCATTTCTGAGCAAAGATAGATAGAATTCAAAGTTGGGTTGTGATACAGGGGTTAAAGCGACATGAGTGCAGAAATTAGACAGTTTTGATGGAAAATAGACACCATTCTCACAGAGGGTCGTAAATATATTGTGCAAAGATTAGAGTGCTGGGGGAGAGAGAGAGAGAGAGAGAGAGAGAGAAAAAAGCCAAGCAAACAGTGCAGAAGATGGTGCAAGTAGGGGTGAGTAAAAAAATACACCCCCCCCCCATCAATTTCAACTAACCATAGCGAAGTAGCTGTATAATCCTGTTCACTAGACATACAAAAAAAATAGTTCCACACCAGCTTAGGATTTCTAGTAGGAAATCATGTAAAACAAGAGTATCCCAAAAAGTAACTGAACAATAGTTGGAATTGTATCCACACAAAGAAATATTAATTACACATGAAATTGTAATAGTGACTTACCATCTGCTTATCAGAAAACATGGAGCGGTTGTGAATCAGAGCCATACTGTGTGTAGTGTTACAGTGTTTGCAGACAGATGGCTCTGCAATGCGACCACGGTCAATCTCCACTCTGGTAGAGAATGCGCACACCTGGCATTTAAAGAACGCTTCCTGCATTTCAGGAATTATTTGAGATGTTCGGATAACCATACCCCCAACTGTAATCAGCTGATCAATATCTGAAAGTCAACAAAGCTTAAAAATAAAACATCTGTAAGAGTTTTCACGAACATTTAACATAATAGAGAAAAGCAAATGAAAACATACCTTCAGGGTTCAAGCATCTCATATTCCTGGTTTTTACAGCATTAAATGGGCGGACTTGAATCTGATGTTCCAAGATAGAATCAGGGTAGCGCTCAAAGAAAGTCTCATTTGCAGCCATATCAAAGGTTGGAATAACTTCCTGTAAGCATAGCAGGTTAGATAACTTAATAGCATTAGAGGAAAGAAACATAGTATTTTAAATTTATCAAGCATTCGATTTAGTACTTAGATAGCTAAATTGAACATTTCAATTGTACAATATATGACATCCATACGGTCCCTCTTTGCTGTCTAAAAATCTGAAGGCCCTGTAGACACCCTAACCACTTCACTGACAAAAATAGTTATGGTACCATTATTGCTTGGGAGCCAGGTACTGCATTACTGCCATATGATTACATCCCAAAATAGCCAGGGTGTTATAACGATGTTATAAAAGCCTTGAGTTATAAAAAATGATGATTTCTATTGAAATTGACACACTTATAAACTTGTGAAGAAGAGAACAGACTAGAAAGTTGAAGTGTTGTGTATGTCTGGAGTATTCCTTTAAAGTGAACGTGTAGAATTTACACCACTGAATAAAACACTGAAAATCTCCTAGAACACGTAGCAACTTTTTTTTTCCTCCACGAGATATTAAATTCTCACTGCAATTTCAATTACATATTTAGAAAATGACGATCCAGTTCAGAAAACATAAGTCAGAGCAAACATTGCAAATAGAGAGGAGAAATACAAATCACGGTTTTATTTCTTTTCTTCTTTGCATGCATTCTCTATGGTGACTGCCATGTGCAAAGCACACCGTTTATGAAATGATCGACAGAGAGCTAAGGAGGCACCCAGTTGCAGGATAAAGACATGCTGGTTTCTACATTTATTTTATAACTTTATAAAAATTCTCTATTTCTACATTTATTTTAATTTTTCATAAATATGTACTTGACAAATATAGGGATAAGCAAACATACCAAAAGTCATGGAAAGAGACAGTTCCCCCTTAAGAGATATGTTATATACATTCACAGAGGCTGAGAATCTTTGTTACATGAGGAAAATCTAATAGACCCTTTGGGCAGATCCATTGCAAAATATAAATAAGGAGTCTGCATGCCTTGTCTTCAAGATGTAATAACTATGTAAAATTCCATCTACAGATGACACGCATTAAAGAATTTCAATTCAGCTTTGCATAAACAAAAGTTATACTTAACTTTCAAAATTGAATCAGTAAGATAGGGCCAGCTAATAAGGAGTGTTTTTATGCTGGATTGCTTATGGAAGACAATACACTTGTGCACAAATCCCTTTGAGCTGTGTCGAGTGGATCAAATGCCTGTTTATGTATTAAATCAATTTGTTAAGAAATTCTGGAACAAATAGATTTGTTCATCCATAGACTAGCCCTGTTTCGATAAATACTCAGTTACAATTTATTACTATTCTTTGACAACTTAGAACTGTTAGGATTGATTTTGTCTAAATGTGCAAATTCCTCAATCTCAGATGAAAAGTTTTATTATACCGATTAAATAAAATACACACACACACACACACACTTTATATCCATATCGTCAGTTATTACTCTACCTGTGGATAGCAAACCAGTTGCCTATACAGATCTTGGTCAAATGTTCTCAGATGGTCACAGTCAATATTCAAGAATGGCTCCCCTATCATATTAATCTAAAATAAGAAAATGTAATGTTACAAAATGCATTCTACAAGAGGTCTTTTAAATTTCAAGAAAGGTTGCATTTATATACCTCTTCCAGTCTCTGCATATAGAGTGGTTCATTCAGATCCAAGCCAACATTTTCCTCCTCTTTTGCATTAGGATCAATAAATCGCTGGATGAATCGCTACAAAAAAACAAAACATTTTAAGCATCCCAGAATATGTAAAATTGCCAAAAAAACTCATTGTATTTGCTCTGGTAAAATCCTTACAAACCAAGTAGTATACTCTGTAAAAGGGAAGAATCTTATTCAAGGGTTACTAAAATCTTTATCAGCTTTACTTTGTTCAATAATTTTTAAAAAAAATATTTAAAGTTCCCCTCACTTCTGACTGCACACATATCTGTGAGAAAGGTGACAAATGGACAATCTGCTTTACCTAAAGTATATGTTGAAGAGTAAGATGTGTTTGATATCTCTGTTGCTTTGCATTTTATGTTTCAGAACTAAGCATTTCAAATGTTAAAACCAGACTGAAATGGGAGGATAGAGAAAATACAGGAATTGACAAAGAGTGCAGGATAGGAAGTATTCACATTAGAGGACTTTAGTCACAACATGCAAAAACCTTTTACAAGCATTTACCTGGAATTTCTCTTTGCATGTGGTAACATTAACATCTGTTCCCCAAATCACAAGTTTCTGTCCCACGTTCTGCTCACTTGTCACTAATTCTTCTTCAACAGGCTACAAAGATAAAAATACAAGTGGTTTATAGATACTAAACAATTCAGGTAACATAAGATTACAAAATATGCATCCACTACTAACCTGGTCTGATTGCAAATCCACCTGCTTCACTTTACGAGCTGATCCAAGATCAGGTCTCTGTCTAGCAGGAGTTCCCCGAATGCCACTTCTCGGTGTGCCCTCAACTCTTGAGCTAGGTGTTCCATATGTCAATGGAGAGCTCATGTCAAGTTCACTGGGAAGAGCTGAAAAGATAAAAATAAACATTGTACATTAAAAAAAAAAATTAAATTTATTTATAGACATTTTTATCTTTTTTTTTTTTTGAAATGCCATTGTATTCTGTGGTCCAGTGTTCACAATGATGACACTTTGAAAACCAATCAAAATTACCCACACTGCGACATTACTTTAGCATAAAATGTGATCTTTACCCAAATCCCAATACTAATCGATTAAAATTTCTTAAAAATCAGGTATCCGACATGTATACATTAAGGATCCCTTACTGTAAAATAAATACAACCTTCAGTGACAAATTTATAAAGTGATCATGCCCTGGATGTTTTCCAAGCACTTTGAAGAATATGGTTACAAACCCATTAACCCCTTAAAGACACAGCTCTAGAAAGCTGAACATACCCTTAAAAGGACACAAGGAATTTTTGCATCTCTCATTTATTGTACCAACACATATTATATACCGTTTTTAAGACAACAAACAGGGCTTTAATTTGGTGTGACATATACATATATAAATTCTCATTTATTACAGAAAAAAAAGCAAAATAATGGGGGGAAAAACCCCCCAGAAAAAGGCTTTCTCCCCCCAAGTTTTGGCAATAATAATGTGCATAATATGTCCAGCTTAGGAAAAGTAATTCAAAATCAATTCATTTATGTGTCTTGATTTACAAAGTACATAATATAAGTTACAGGTCACAAACTACAAGGTCTAAAATAAAATTTCAATGTGAAACAATTTTAGAAGTTGGGATGTTTGTCTTGGATGTTTAATACCCATTACAAAAAACAAAATTGCCACACAAAAGTATATATTTATATAAAGTAGACATCACAGGCTAAATATTGGAGTAAAATTGTGATTTTCTTTTTCTCTATTTTGGCATATACACATAGAACAAATTTTTTTTTTTTTTTTTACCAACTTATTTTACTATTTTAAAACTTTTCAAGTCTCCCCCCCACCTTTTTTTAACCCCTAACTAGTCGAACAATAAATTCCCCAATGTCCCCACTAACTTCTACCCACCCTAGCTAAATAAATGTTTTACAAATATTTAAGTAAATAAATGTAACCCCTGAGGATAAAAAAATAAAATAAAAAAAATACACATTGAAATACGGTTATCTGTATTTTGATCACTGCAGACAGTGATCAAATGGCAAGGAAGGGTGGGATTTTATTGCCATCACTTTTTTTTTTTTTTACACACACACAGCTAGAGAGAGATCAGCACCAATCTGTGTCTGCACTTCACAGCTCTGTTTCACTGCAGCACATTTGATCGCTCTGACTCCCAGTCAGAGCGATCACATGGGCTGTGAAAATGAAACTGACCATAGCAGTGTGCCCCCGACATGGAGACATACTACAGGAACATTAACCCCACGACTGCCGCGATCTGGGGTTAATTTTAGTTTTGGACAGAAATTTTCCATCCAGCATCCTTAAGGGGTTAATAAAGACTTGGGTGTCTACTAATCAACAGACATGCAGATAATGCAAATGGAGGAATTCAGCACCATTATTTATCTTTCTACTAACCACACCGTCTTGCTTTTTGAAAAATTTACAGATGAAACCATCTGTTTTTTCGGCAAAAATGCGATAAAGATGTTTAGTAAAACTATATGCTGCATTCCATACAGGTACCTCATTGCAATCATGAAGCATGGCAGTGAATGTATTGTGGTTAAGAGCAGATTTGCAGCCACTGATGGAACTGATTCTGTACTTTAGCAGAAAATCTCAGAGAATGCACGTCATACAGCACAATAAAGACCTCTTCTTCTGCTTAAATAAAAAGTAAGTTCTTACAGCATCATCGATGTTGAATAGTCAACAAATGAATGTATTTGTTACCCCTGATGCTCAATTTCCATGACTCATTATCTCCTCTTAGACATGGATACCACCAAATGTGCAAGAACACATCATTAGGGTTAATATTGCTGATGTATATATTTTTTGGCAATTCTAATAAAAGTTATTAGGTCCTTCCAGTGTTCCACGAACACTAAGAAATAGAATAGATTCTGCTCATACCACTAAAGGTCAACCATGCCTAACTGTAAAATGCATGCAAGGAAATTTCCCCCAAAATAGGATATTCTACCTGAAATGACCTAAAAGTAGCAGTTTATTTATGCAGCCTTGAAATATTAGTACCCTGAAGCATCTTTATTAAAAAAAGACCAGAACCACATCCAAGTATGTGTGGGGTACAATAAACATGTTGATGAAGTCATTGCTGCAGAAGGAGGCACCACCAGCTACCAAATATAAAAAAGTTGAAGCACTTTAGTACCAAGACAGTTAATCTATGAAGTCCCTTAAAATACTGAGCGTGATATGCTGTTTCCCACTGTGCAATCATAGTTTAATCTCTGAAATGTCATACGTATGTCGCACATATTCAATAAGTCTCTGCATTAATGTCACCACGGTTCACTGTCATTATGATCTGTGCCTCAATAAAAACGGATTGACAAAAAAAAAAAAAAAAATATTTAACTTCTAATTCATGACTTGGAAGGAAAATAAAAACTATCAAACTTGAGGCTAAAGCAAAGAAAAAAAAGTTCTCAAACGTTTCACTCACAACTGTTCATATAGTAGCATGGTGGAAAAAGTTAAAATAAATAAATTTTGTAAAAAAATAAATAAAATCACCCCCCCAGGACACACCTAAGTAAAAAAAACAAACAAAAACCAAAACAAAACACCAATATTTTGGCACAATCCCTCCGAAGTGTATATTTCATTAAAAAAAAAAAGTGCTGAAACAACATACCAGAATGCCTTGATGGTGCAGGGCTAGAAAACAACAATTCCTGTCCACTGGGACTCTGAAGGTCACCAGATGGGGATGTCGGCATTGGCAGCAGCTCTCCCATCGATGTGGAGTCCTCAGTCCGCCGTTTCTGTGACGGAGGAGACTGTACATCCTCACTTCGGGCTGAAAAAATATAAAGAAAAATCAGCAAACAGAAAACATATTATACTCTGAACATAACCAAAAAAATGAAATAATTTATACTAAAGTCACCAAGTTTTTTAATATATATCTCTCTCTCTCTCACTAGTATAAATTCTCACACTTTGAATATCAATATCAGGCATCATTCAGGGCAAATTAAAGTCCTACTCTACTAGTAACACCTGAAAAATGTATTCACCACTGTAAGCCTTGATGATCCATAACACAAGAGGAATGGCTAGTGAAAATTTGAGCCTTAGAATGTTCATACACTATAACAGAAATTAATGTTTTTTTTTCCTTCATAATTTCTATATTCCTAAGCACATGCAGGTATGCAGATGCTAATGAGCATCACCTATGGGGGGGAAGGGGGGGGGTCTTCTCCTGTTTGATATACATGAGCCCAAATGAACATGAACATTTCTACTACATTAAGAGAATACAACCTTGACATTTCATCAGATGGGCTATATTATCTAAAATATGCTGCAAACTAACTGGCAAAGATTGAAGGGAAATGTAGTACAAATGCTAAATAGTCAAGGTTAAGCACCCCATACACAAGATCATCTATAAACATTGTGAGCGAATCGCTGTAAGAATAATAAGAAGTTACTTACGAGTTGAGGGATTGCTGCTCCTCCCCCGTTTGCTTTGTCTTCGACTTGGTGTGGATGTTGGAGACGACATGGTACTGAAGATAAAGACATAATTACAGCTTTTTATAATTTACAGCTAGGCTCTTTCCTCTGCAAAAGTAAATTACTGCAATACCCTCATAACCACACTCTCCCGCAAACTCACGACTAGTCCACACTTTTAACTTTCTTCTTCGCAATGTTGCTCCTCCTCCTACCAACTTAACCACCACAAACTTTGCAACTCCCTTCACTGACAAGATCTCTACAATCAAGGAAGAGATCTCTCTCCTTCCCCTTACAATACTTCCCCCAACCTCACTCCCTCTGCTGTTTTATGCTCATTCGCATGCGCTACGGCGGAAGATGTTTCTGATCTGCTCCGGTCGTCCCGTCACACCACCTGCTCTTTTGATCCTATTCCCTTGCATCTCATCTGTACACTGTCCTTCTCTTGCTTTGCCTCTCACTAAAATTCTCAATCTCTCCCTCTCCTCTGGCATATTTCCATTACCCTTCAAACATGCAACCCCAATTCTAAAAAGGCCCAACCTTGATCCAAAGTCCCCGTTCAACTCCTGCCCTATCTCACTACTGCCTTTTGCGTCCAAGATCCTTGAAAGACTTCTGTATGTGAGATTGACAGACTTCCTTGAGTCCAATTCTATGCTCAACCCACTTCAGTCTGGGCTCAGCACTCTGTGGAAACAGCTTTGACCAAAGTATCAAACTATCTACTCGCAGCAAAATCTCATGGTCACTACTCTATCCTAATTCTCGACCTTTGCGCTGCTTTTGACACTGTTGATCATCAACAGCTTGTTCTGATCCTCCATAATCTTTGTCTACAAGATATTGCTCTCTCCTGATGCTTATCCTACCTCACCCAGTGCTCTTTTAGCATTTCTTTTCTCACAACCTCTCTCTGTCCCCCAAGGTTCAGCCCTTGGATCCTACTGTTCTCGATCTATACTGCCTCCTTTTGCTTCCAATATCACTTCTATGCAGATGACTCGCAAATCCATCTGTCCTCCCCTGATCTCTCCCTGCCCCTCTTGACTAGTGTCTCTGACTGCCTCTCTGCTATTTCCAACGGGATGCCTGCCCACTTCCTTAAGTTCAACTTGTCCAAAATAGGTCTTTCCTCCCTCAAGTGTTGCTACTTCCGTGGTCCATGACACTGTCCTCTCTCGCCTTGACTACTGCAATCCACTTCTCAGTGGTCTTACGTGCTCATAACTTGCTCCACTGCAGTTTATAATGAATGTGGCGGCGAGGCTCACCTTTCTCCCACGCCCCATCCCTCTGTCAGTCCCTGCATTGATTTCCCGTAAGGTATAGGGCTCAATAAAAAAATTCTGGTTCTCGCTTTCAAATCTCTATATAATGCTACTCCCACCTATCTTCCCTAATACACAAGTATGTCCCGTCTAGGCCCCTACGCTCTGCCGAAGACCTGCGTCTATCCTCTGTTTGTACTCCCACCTCTGATGCTTGTATCTAAGGCTTCTCAAAGGCTGCACCGTTCCTGTGGAACTCCCTTCCCTTTAAATGCTCACCCAGTCTCCACTCCTTCAAAAAAAAAATCATTAAAAAAAAACTCACTTTCACAAAAGCATATTAAATTAAACGGTTTATGGCTCAAAAACAAACAAACAAAACACTAGGTCGTCATTGAATACTATTCTACTTCCCTTACCTTTTGTGTCACTTTACCCCACGCCATCTAGCATGTAAGCTCGTTGAGCATGGCCCTCAACCCCTCTGTTTCTGTGTGTCAAACTTGTCTGATTACAATTACATGTTTGTTAGTCCACCCATTGTAAAGCGCTACGGAATTTGTTGGCGCTATATAAATATAAGAATTTAGGGATAAGATAGAGATATATATATATATACACATACACACACACACATATATATATATATATATATATATATATATATATATATATATATATATATATATATATATATATATATATATATATATACACACACACACACACATACAAAAATATAAGCTGCTATGATAACCACTGGAAGGACTTTCTGGGTTTGGTCCAAAGACTGCAGGACCAATGTTAAGCATCTACATGATCTGCAATGACTGCATCTCTATGAGGAGGTGCTTATCTGCAAAGCGCTTCAATGCAAACTTTTTATAGCTCCTAGAGGGGTTAATTTACTAAAAACGAAATTTGGGTCTGTTGAAAACTGAATATAAAAATGTAAGCTCCTCCACTAAAGAGAAAATGGCTGTGGGAGTAAACCATTTGTGGTCAGCGATGTCTCCCGAGTAAAACAGTACCCCCCATGTACAGATTTTATGGTGTCTTGGAAAGCTATAGGGTTAAATATAGTGCTAGCAAATTAAATTCCCTATACTTCCGGCCTGGTTTGTCAGGCAGGTCCCGCAAATTGTAATTAATTTAAAAGGACCTAATTATGTAAAATTATTACACACAATTTTTTTTTTTAAATTATTTTTATTTATATATAGTGATATATACGTATATACTTATGTATATAATGAAAAAGCAAAGGCATTTTTATTAATTTTTGTTATATTAATATTTTTTTTTTTTTAATATGAATATTTTTATTTTAATATTTTTTTTTTTGTCCCCCCTCCCTGCTTGTTAGCTGGCCAGGAAGGGGGGCTCTCATTCCCTGTGGTCCAGTGGATGGGCTGTGTAGGAGTGGGGCTGGCAGCAAGCTGTAACTTACCTTTCCTGCAGCTCCTGTCCGCTTGTAATGAGCCCGGCGGTCCTGGTCTGTATTATGGCAAAGTAAGTTGCCATAATACAGACAGTGACTAGAGTATAAGTCGAGTGGGTGTTTTTCAGCACAAAAAATGTGCTGAAAAACTCGACTTATAATAGAGAATATACAATACGTGTATTTTGATATATATTGATATGTTAATATTAAAATACACTTAGTGTATATGTAAATGTGTGTATATATACACACACAATATATATATGATCTAAGTATATTTTATTTGTAACTAACTTTTTTTTTTATAACTAATATTTTATTTTTCACAGGAGAGGCTGCAGAGAGAATGCAGCCAGTGATGTCAGGATCAGTGATCACAGTTACTGGCTGTCACTGTGATCACCTCCTGCAGATCGCGGTAATTGGCCACAGGGGGAGTGCCTGGGTGGCCAGGCATGCCCCCCCACCACGATCTGCAGGGGGATCCTGCCTGTAGTTACATGTGTCAGCCAATAGGCTGACAAGTAGTAACTCAGATCGCAGTGAGAAGCTGTCTGCGCAATCAGATCCTGCAGATCGCGGTCACTAAACGCAGGGGGACTGCTTGGGGGCCCAGGCATGTCCACTGACCGCGATCTTCAGAGGGAAAATACCACCCCCCCCCCGCGATCTACAGCGGGGTAACGTCACGTTTAGAGCCGGCCAATTAAAGAAGGCATAGAACGCCCAGCGGTCTTAAGGGGTTAATCTACGCTTTTCTATGGGGAAAAATGTGACGCTGGAAGTCCTCATGCATAACGTCAGGACGTCCAGCATCAGATACCAGATCAAAGGTCCGTTTCGATTCAGGACAGCCACTGAGGGCAGACAGATCTGCAATGTAAACTCTGAAACTGCAATGTTTTATATTGCAGCAGTAAGTGCAAAAGGGACACAGCACCCAGACAACTTCAATGAGCTGAAGTGGTCTGGGTGCCTAAATTGTCCCTTTAATGTAGTTGTTCTGTTGTCTACTGCCTTTTTTTTTTTTTTTTTAAAAGGACCACTATAGTGCCAGGAAAACATACTCGTTTTCCTGGCACTATAGTGCCCTGAAGGTGCCCCCACCCTCAGGGACCCCCTCCCGCCCGGCTCTGGAAGGGGGAAAGGGGTAATAACTTACCTTTTTCCAGCGCTGGGCGGAGAGCTCTCCTCCTTCTCTCCTCCTCCGTTCCTCCTCCTGGGCTGAATGCGCACGCGCGGCAAGAGCTGCGCGCGCATTCAACCCGTCGCATAGGAAAGCATTTACAATGCTTTCCTATGGACGCTTGCGTGCTCTCACTGTGAAAATCACAGTGAGAAGCACGCAAGCGCCTCTAGTGGCTGTCAATGAGACAGCCACTAGAGGATTAGGGGGAAGGCTTAACCCATTCATAATTATAGCAGTTTCTCTGAAACTGCTATAATTATGAAAGAATGGGTTAACCCTAGAAGGACCTGGCACCCAGACCACTTCATTAAGCTGAAGTGGTCTGGGTGCCTAGAGTGGTCCTTTAATGTAAACACTGCCAAGGAACATCTCCAGTGTCAGTAACTCAGATGGCCACTAGAGGTACTTCTTGTGTCAGCGCAGCACAATGGGCAGCATTAAAGTGCAGCTGAACATTCCTTATAGGGATGCACTGACTCAATGCATCTCTATGAGGAGATGTTCATTTGCGCAGCGTGGCGTTTTGCCCACATGTACAATAACCTTCCAATACTTTCCTATGGGATATCAATGGATTGGCTGACATGTTTGATGTGCTCTGCCAAGGGGTCAGAGACAGCCACAATAAGACAGGGGACAAGGAGGGCCGGAGACTTACACGGCATCCATTAGAACTATAGTGTCAGGAATACATGTTTGTATTTCTGACAGTTTTACTTTAAAGGAACACTATGGTCACCCAGACCACTTCAGCTCAATGAAGTGGTCTGGGTGCCAGGTCCCTCAGGTTTTAACCCTGCAGATGCAAACATAGTTTCAGAGAAACTGCTATGTTTACATTGCAGGGTTAAGCCAGCCTCTAGTGGCTGTCTTCTGGACAGCCACTAGAGGTGCATCTGCGACGCTGGAGGTATATTATGCCTGCATCACGCAGAGCATCCATAGGAAAGCATTGAAAAATGCTTTCCTATTAGCAGCTTGAATGCGAGCGCGGCACTTGCCACTCACACGCATTCGGCTCCGATGAAGACGGCGAGGTCACCAGCGCCAAGGGAGCCCGGCGCTGGAATAAGGTAAGTAACTGAAGGGTTTTTTTTTTAACCCCTTCAGCACCATGGGAGGAGGACCACTGTTTTCCTGACACTATAGTCATCCTTTAACTTTCATCTACCATGTGAGTGCCCAGTCCCCCAACCTATCTAAACACTTCTGCAGCTGAATAATATCCTGTTCACACTGTATTACTCTATAGCAGTGATGGCGAAGCTGTGGCACGCTGGGCCCTTTCTGTGGGCACGCGGCTACAGGTTCGCCATCACTGCAGAGTAGGCGCCTACTCTGCTTCCGGGTCGGGAGGCAGGGGGAGGGCTCTGTGATGCAGCTCCCCTGTCCTCCCGCGCGATGCTGTGTGGAGCGTTGCCGCGCGTTACCATGGCAACGCTCCACACAGCATTGCGCGAGA